CCCTGCAGTGCATCCATAGCCTCCAGACCGATGAGCTGCATAACACACAGGGCAGCCATCCTGAGTAGGAATGGCTGGAAACTCGCTGCTGCAGCCATACCGCACGCCCCCGTGCTGGCCCTCATGGCTGAGCTGGCTATATCGCAGCCATCATGCGTAAGATGCCTCGGCCTCAGCCATTTCAGCCATTTACTATGGCTGGGGCACAGAGATTGCAGCCATCCTCCAGAGCCATGGCTGGTGATAATTCGATGGCAGCCAATGGCAGCCGTCCCGCGAGGCCGGGGGCGGCAAGCGCGCAGCCATTTGTGCGTGTGGCGGGGGCGGCGGACGGCTGCCATCGAATTAGAGAAAGAAACTTTTAGCACCATCATCCCGAAATCCTGCGCAGGATGGCTGCACTGACTGAACCCCAGCCATAGTAGATGGCTGAAATGGCTGTGGGCCAGCCATCTTACCCAAGATGGCTGCGATATAGCCAGCTCAGCCATGAGGGCCCGCCCAGGGGCGTGCGGTATGGCTGCAGCAGCGAGCTTCCAGCCATCCCTACTCAGGATGGCTGCCCTGTGCCCCTGTGTGTATTGCAGCCATCGGCCTGGAGGCTATGGCTGCACTGCAGCTAGCTCAGCCATCCTTAGGTAAGATGGCTGTGTAGGAGACAGCACAGCCATAGTGCGCTTACATTCCGAGGTTAGCCCACAGAGGCACGGGACCCCTCGATCGTCTCTGTCTCGCCCTCCCTCACTGGTGTGATCATTTGGGGGGGTCATAACAAACACGGTACAGGATCGAGGTGCACGCCGCCGAAGCAGTGTCGTCCCCCCTCTCTCTCCCCGACGGCGATGGCGGTGTGACCGATCGAGCTACAAGAGGAGCTTGTTCAGCAGGATCCAGGATAGTCTGACGCACTGCCTCACTGGGTCTGAGATCATCAGATACATACTTGCGCGACACACCCGACGGTCGCACACCGACTGTAACCCCGAGGCGAGCAGCTCGAGCGCGCGCTCGTCGGCGGCCAGCCGTCGCGGGCCGGGCCGAACCCGGCCTCAACCGGCCGCGCCGCCGCAGCAGGGAGCAGGCCCGGAGGCCCACATGGCGGCCGACCAGCTGATAAGAGGTCTTCTGTCAGACTTTAGGCACCAGGGAAACTCGAGAGTCCTAGAATTCTTACGATACAAGCCGAGTGCTAGAATGGAGCACCAAACACCCTCTGGTTTCCATGGAAATTTCCGGAAACGCAAAGTGCTGGGGACCTCTGGTTTCCCTCTGGGTTGCCGCGGAAACTCTCATACAGGCCAAAAAAAGCCACTGTCTGTTTTCTTTCTTTATTGCTGTGCTGGCGATGAGGCAGGAGAGGATGGCGCTGAAGGAGAGAGGACGAGTCGACGAGAGTGGGACGATCGCGAGGTGGCATGAAGGTCGTGAGAGAGAGAGAGAGAGATGTGTGTGTGCTCGCAGCGAGAACGTTGGCCAGGCGCCCAGGAAGGAACTGCGTGCCTCGAGCTCTACCTCTCTAGCCCCTAAAAAACACAACAAAAAACTCCGACGTCGTGGCGCCAGCGAAAGCAGTCATCCTACAGGGACCGCCGGAAAGTAACGCATTCGGCGGCTCGGACGCACGCCGCCGACCGCTCACGCGCGCGCACACGCACTGCCTCCGTCACAGGTCGTCCCCGAGCTTGCCGCCGCGCATCTGCTCCTGGCGCGACTTGAGCATCGCCTCGCCCAGCGTCTTCTTCATGTTATCGTCGCCCTCGTCGTACATCTGCTTCATCATGTCCATCAGGCCGGCGGAGGGGTCGTCTTGAGTGGCGCCGCCGGTGGTCCGCTTGGCCACGAGGTCCATCCAGTGGTCGGCCCCGTACTGGCCCTTGACCTTGCGCAGCACGACCGTGATCTTGTTCTTGCCCACCTTGACCCTGCTTCCCGCCGGGTCGATCTCCTTGTCGAGACCGTCCTTGCGCAGGCGCCAGTTCTTGCCCTTGTAACCGAGCACGCGCAGGTCAAACGACCGCTTGCCAAAGTCGCACTGCACGCTCTCCTTGGCCTCGCCGATGCCCTCGAACCCGGAGAGCAGGTGCACGTACACGTTCGCCGGGTCCTTGCCGTAGTCGTCCTGGTCCCACGCAAACGAGGTGATGGAGCTGTACGGCACGCTCGGCGGAGCGGCAGCCGCCTCGGTGCTGAGCGGCACGGGCGCTGGGGCAGGCGGCGGCGGCGACGGCGCCGCGGCGGGCGGCGCGGTTGAAGCGGCGGCGGCGGCGGCGGTCGCGGCGGCGGCCGAGGCGGAAGCGGCGGTGGCGGAGGCGACGGAGGCGGCGGCGGGCTTGGCCGGCGCCGTGGCGCCGCCGATCAGCTCCCGCAGCTGGCCCGCGTACGCCTCGAGCTGGGCCTTGACCCGCGGACGCTTGCACTCGGAGATGAGCCCCTCGAGCTCAGCGAGGTCCGCCTCGGCCATGGTGGCGTGAGCTGGGGCGACACGAGGGCTTTCGGCGATGACTACAGAATGGGAGACGGCGCCACGCAGCGCTGAAGTTTTTCTTTAAGACCTGCGCACAAAACTGCCAATTTTCCCGCAATGAAATATTTTTCTCTCTCTCTTCTCGCCGCCGGCTTTGATCGGTGCACGGTTCGCGGGCACTGCGAGGCAGAGAACTCTCCTCCGCCCCGATCCGCGCCTTCAGGCTCGAGTTTGCAGAAGCCGGGCGAAATGCAAGACGAGGAGGTCGACCGGCACGTGCTCCGCAAGTACGACGTGGAGGCCAAGCTTGGCAAGGGCGCGTATGCGGTGGTCTTCCGCGCCACCGACCGGAAGACCAAAGGGACCGTCGCGCTCAAGAAGATCTTCGACGCGTTCCAGAACTCGACCGACGCGCAGCGCACCTTCCGCGAGATCATGTACCTCCAGGCGATGAACGGGCACGAGAACATCATCCGGCTGCAGAATGTGCTAAAGGCGGAAAACGACCGCGACATCTACCTCGTGTTTGACCACATGGACACGGACCTGCACGCGGTGATCCGCGCAAACATCCTGGAGCCGGTGCACAAGCAGTTCATCATCTACCAGTGCCTCAAGGCCCTCCTCTACTGCCACAGCGGCGACCTCATCCACCGCGACCTCAAGCCGTCCAACCTGCTGCTCGACGAGGTGAACCGAGATATGGGGAGATATGGGGAGAGACGGGGAGAGACGGGGAGAGACGGGGAGAGACGGGAAGAGATGGGAGATATATGGGGAAAGATGGGGAAAAATGGGGATATATGGCCAGAGGTGGGAAGACATGTGGAGAGACGGGGAGACACCGCAAGACTGGGCATATATCCGCAGATCCTGGAGAGATCCGGGGAGATCTGGGGAGATACCGGACATCTTTGCGAAAATTGTTGACAGATCGCCACAAGACCCCCTCGACGGATGTCCCAACGTGCCCAGCACCCTGCGTAAACGGCGGAGAGATGCCTGCCCCCATATGCCCTGCCCCCCTCACCCTGCCTCTCGCCCTGCTCCCTCGCACCGCCCCCCACCATCGCCCAAACAGCGGCCCCGCCCGATCGCCCTGCCTCTCGAGATACGGGGAGATACGGGGAGATGTGCGGAGATACGGGGAGATCGCCCTGCCGCTCGCCCCTGCCTCATTGCCCCTGCCCCCTCGCCCCGCCCTT